ACATTTTAAAGTTTCTGTATGGTAATCCCCTGTTTAACTTCACTAGGGGAAATAGACTCCTGGAGACCAAACAAGAACTGTTTTAATGAAAATAAGTGGCGGAGTGAAATAGTGCCATGAAACATACTCCTTCCCCCTGCCTCTCTGCTGCATAGGGCCAGGGTCATCTGGAGATTGTGTGTTTGTGTGTGTGTGTGTGTGTGTGGTGGTGGTGGTGGTGGTAAAGGCAGGAATGCAGGGGGGGGGGCACGGAGACTGGTGGAGGTGGCACAGCTAACTTGCCAAGTCTGGGTGAATCCTAGCAGCAAATTCATTCAATGGGACCTTTAACATTTCCATTATCAACTTTAAATAATAAGGTGAATTTACTGATTTCAGCAGAAAAACCCATTAGGAGTGTGGGAGTGAAGACCCTTATGAGTGACACAACCGGTTTGGCTCAGTGGATTGAGCGTTGGCCTGTGGACTCAAAGGTCCCAGGTTCGATTCCGATCAACGGCATGTACCTTGGTTGTGGGCACATCCCCAGTAGGAGATGTGCAAGAAGCAGCTGATTGATGTTTCTCTCTCACTGATGTTTCTCTCTATCCCTCTCTCTTCCTCTTTGTAAAAAATCAATAATATATATATATATTTTTTTTTAAAAAGAGCCTTATGAGCTTTTCAGTGGCAATGCCTACAGATGCACGTGTGTAATCAAGAGACAATAAGGGCTGGCCGCTGTGACCGGAGCTCCTGAGAGTCCCTGCGATGTGGCTAAGGAAACCCATGGTGTACTCACCTCCTTGGGGATGGGTGTGTGTCAAAATTGCTGAGGAGTGAGCTTTCCTGCCCGTAGACTAAGCAAACAGATAACAATTGACTGGGGCAAACACTTTACCTGTATAGAAGGTTACTCACTCGGGCATATGAGTATCTTTCCCCATAAAAGAATCATCAGATTCCAGAGGCATGAATGAACCAATTGTGCTGGTCCGTCTGCTGCAGGTGCTACGCTTTTTTACTGAGAAACCTATTTTATCCTGGTACCCAGGGCTATCCAAGGGTATGCTGTTTATGACCAACTGTCTGGAGTTATTCATTTATGCTCGTTTTCTGCTACAAAAATGGTCATCTTGGCTGACTCTCATGACACAGGTGGCTGCCCACTGCCGACAGGTTATCCACATTAGTCCTCATTCTGCTTGCCCTGCCTGAACAGTTTCCTTTATTCTTTCTATTCCAACTATTAACCACGATTATTTCCAGGACTGTAAGATGCACCATTTATTTAATAACACCTAGCAGTGGGAAGGGGAGGGGAGAATCCCTATCATGTTAAATAGACAACATCTATTGTCAGCTCATGCCTACACCTCACAGTGAAAGACCCATGGTCCTTCAGGACTCATATCAGTCATCTCCTCTGAGAAGCTCTTTGTTGTTTATTTGTTTGTTAATCCTCACCTGGGGATATTTTTTCTATTGATTTTTAGAGAGAGAGAGAAACATTGATGTGAGAGAGACACATCAATCAGTTGCCTTCCTGCCTGTGCCCCGACCAGGGCCGGGGATTGAACCTGCAACCCAGGTACTACATGCCAGGACCTGGAATCAAATCCGCAACCCTTCGGTGTGTGGGCTGACACTCTAACCACCGAGCAACACTGGCCAGGGCTCTGAGAAGCTCTTTTGTCCCTTCCCTAGGACTGACCATCCTCTGGTATCACAACTGCACCTTGAACATGCTGTCATAGTGAGTAGTCACAGGGCCTCGTCCAGGGCTTGGCATGAATTCACTCTGTAGATATTGATTGAAGACCTACCATGTGCCAGGCACATTCCTAGACTTGCACGTGTTTGTTAAACAAGAGTTTTTAGCAAACGCTGACTCTGCAGTGACATGGGAGATACAAAATAAGGATGTGGCCGTCTATTTGGCCAATCCATGATTAGGCAGGGATGGGAGCAGCAGGTATGTTATGCTGCCTCAGTCAGCTCAGGCTGCTATAACAAATACCATTGACGGGTGGCTCAGGCAAAAAACATTTCGTTCCCAATTCCGCAGGCTGGGAAGTACAAGATCAAGGTGCCCGAAGATCCTGTTCCTGGTGAACAGAATTTTCATCTTCTCCCACGCTGTGTCCTTTCCTGGCGGCAGGGGAGAAATCATCTCTCTGGTGTCTTCTTACAAGGACATGAGTCCCATTCCTGCGAGCTCCTACCTCAGGACCTAATTATCGCCCCCTCCCCCACCCAAGGCAGGATAGGAAGAAACTAGGAAAATTCCTTGGCAAGTGGAATGGGGAAACTGAGACAGATAGCTGAACAAAATGGCTGAGCAATTTATTGATGCAGAAGGCCTGCAGGGTGGAAAGCCCCGGGTGCCTAGCAACAGGCAAAACTGGCACTGGACCTCGCTCCCAGGATGGCCTTTCCTACACCCCTGGCATTTCTCTGGTCATGCAGTTTAGACCTCTTCCTCCGCCCACCTTTCCCTCCCTGGAAATAACGTCTAGACCTCACCTGTATTTCAGCTCCAGGCCCAGAAAAGCAGCAACGCCAGGCAGGTGATGACAGGATCCTCTGCCATGACTAATCAGCGGAGGCCCAAACCCGGAAAGAATACATCTGGAAACGCTGATGACTACTCTATTGAGACGCTCCACTAAGACCTCCCGTTTAAAACACTCAGAAAACGAAGAACCCAATGAGTGTTCCCTTTCCTGGAAGCATGCCTGTATCTTTCCCTCCCAGCCTTCTTCCCCCACAGGCCTGCATCTTCTAAACCAGAGATTCTCAACCTTCCTAATGCCATGACCCTTTAATACAGTTCCTCAGATTGTGGTGGCCCCCAACCATAACATTATTTTCGTTGCTACTTCATAACTGTAATGTTGCTACTGTTAGTGAATTGTAATGTAAATATCTGTGTTTTCCGATGGTCTTAGGCTCTACAGCAGTGGTTCTCAACCTGTGGGTCAAGACACAGATATTTACATTACGATTTATTAAAAGTAGCAACATTACAGTTATGATGTAGCAGCGAAAATAATCTTATGGTTGGGGGTCACCACAACATGAGGAACTGTATTAAAGGGTCATGGCATTAGGAAGGTTGAGAATCTAAACTCTAAGGGACTTGCAACCAGGGGAGCAAAGGGCAGCAGCAGCTCGTCCTGGGCTAAACCCCTGAATCTGCCTCCGAGGCCCCCTCATTTCTGCCTCTCCACTGAGCTGGCAGCACCTCGGCCTTGGCTCACGTCTCTCCCACAGATTCTAGAGCCTAAGCAGCCACGCCGGGTCTCTCTCCTGTTGCTTCTTCTATCCAAAGCCCTTTGTCTCGCTGACCCCGGCATTAATAAACGTCCTCCCAAAATCACCTGGACTCAGGATGCGACAACTCTCCTGCACGAAGCGAAGAACCCACACACAACAGGCCAGCCAGAGGCAGACCTGCTCGAGGCCCTGTCCCCTTTCCCATAACATTCCCAGAGACATTCTAGAGGATTCTATGAAATGGAAAGTGGGGAGAGAAAGGCAGGATGAGTGAACAGCATGAAGACAGGCTTGGTGGCAAGAATGAATTAAAAAATTTTACATTTATGTTAAAACATAGATAACATGTAATCTATCATTTTAACCATTTTTTTTAGGTGTACAGTCCGGTGGCGCTACATACACTCACAATGCTGTGAATTTTTAATTGTTAAACTTGGAAGGGTCTCTGTCAGAAGGGTTCATACCTGGCTGATCACACATCTGTTAGTGGAAATAACGATGCCTCAGAGTAAAAGCAGTCAGGGTTCCTCTCCCCAACTTGAGCAGTTTTCCCCACTACATATGTGATTTATTTTGCATATATTTATGAGGCTGTGGTTTTTGGGGACCAGGAGCACCAGGGCTGCTTCCAGTAAGTTTGAATCATCTTTGTGAAGTTTTAAACAATGGATACTAATCCCCCCCCCCCCATACTGGGCCTTTTGTATTCAAATCAAAAGCACAAAACCCTATTGTTGGGGGGAGAAAAAGAGTCTGTACTGGCAACCAGTTCCCTCTACTTCAAGCACTCAATGTAGTCTCATGAGTCCATTCCCTACAAGTACTGTAGCTATTCATCTCCTGGGTGTTTTCTTTTTGTTTCACTATAGGTGTGTTTGTGGCAAGTGTTCTAATCAGTGCTATGGGCACCCAGAGATGGAAGAGGGTGAGCTAAAGAAGGCGAGTGCCACCCGGCCACGGGGCAGGAGCAGAGGCCTGAGATCTGGGATCCGGCTTTGCCACTTCGCTGCGAATCCCTGGGCAAGTCACCTGAACATGTAAGGCCTGCGTGTCATGAAAAGGTCGGACCCATGGCCTTTCAAGTCCTCCCTGAGTAATTTTTAGCAGGGGCCTATCTGCTCATTGGTGGGGTACTCAGCTTGGGCCGGGCAGAGTTAGCCGAAGGGACAGCAGACAAGCATGGGTGACTCCACGGTGGCGGGGCGCAGGGCGTCACGGAAAGGAGCTCCACTGATGGGATTTCCAGACCAGACTTTGCTCCGCCAACTTTTAAAGGTCGGAGGAAAGTTTGCCGTGGGCGGGGGCCCGGGAGGAGGGCCGGGTGGGCTCCGCCGCCGCCTCCCCTTTAAGCGGGCAGCCCGCGCTCCCTCCGTTACCTGGCGCGGGGAGGGAGGGGCTTGGGAAAGTTTGTGTTTGGTGCTGGCAAAGCGCCCGATGGGAGGCGCGGGCGGGCGGGCGCTGCGGTGCTGGTCCTTCCCTTTTGCTTTCGGGCAGCGGCCGGGGCAGCAGCAGGCTCGGCGCCCGGCTCCCGGTGCCCGCGGACCGCAGGAGGGCGGGGGCAGGCGGGCGGGGGGCGCACGCACGCCCGGCGCGGGGGGTGCGCGGCGGGCGCGGGGAGCGGAGCGGGCGCGCGGCCCAGGCGGAGGAGCGCTGACTCTGGAGCAGCCGGAGCTGGAGGAGGAGGAGCGGCGGCGGGGAAGGAGGCGGCGGCGGCGGGGAGGCGCTCCCGCCGGGCGAGCATGGGGCGCGCGGCGCCCAGGCCGCTGCTGCTGGCGCTCCTGTGGCTGGGTGAGTGCGCGCGCGCGGGGGTCGGAGGGGCGCGGGGGGCCCCGCGGGCCCCGGGGCGGGGGTTGGGTTTGGGGGACTCAATGGGGCGCGGCTGTAGCACGCGGCCTGGGGCGCCCAGGGTGCTGGGGAGGGGGGGGGGCGCTCTCAGAAGACCCGACGGGGATAGGCGATCGGGGCTGCCCGGCGGAGAACCGTGCGGGGTGGGGGGCGCCCCCAGAGCCGGGCGCGAATCCGCCCCGGCCACGCGTGGGATGTCAATCCGCGCTCTGCTAGGCCGAGCCTCGCCCCCCACACGTGCGCGGGGAGTGGCCCGTGGCCGGCCGCCCCAGGCCCGCCCTACCTGTTGGCCGCCGGGAGCCCGGCTCACCTTGAACTCCCGGGCCCGGAAGGTGCCCGCGGTCCCTGGCTGGGATCCCCGGCTCCGGAGCGGAAACAGGCGCCTTTGATCTGCCCCGCCATCGCCGAGACCGGCTCCCCGGCTCTCACAGGCAAGCCCAGGCTGAGTTGCCTTTCTGGGGGAGCGGGAGATCTCACCAACTTCCTTCTAGGAAGGGCACAGGGTGGCCCAGGGCTGCCAGGAGAATGGGCGTGCCAGCCCTTCTGTCCTGGTCTCTGTGGATAGAGCGTCTGCCTCAGGCTTTCCTTTTTATTTCTCCTGGAAGCTGCCTACCTCCATATTTACACACAAAGACCCAACTTTTCCTACCTGTTACTTTTGCTCCCTTTGCCCGTCTCCCGCCTTACACACCCTCCCCGAAAACCTTGGCACCTCTTGATAATTTGGCCTGGCACCCTCACCGCACCCAAGGAATTTTGGGAGGGTTTTTCTTTTATTCTATGCACACGGACACCATCTTCACGAAGGTACGTCTGGTTCTCTGAAATGGTTACGTTGCCTGTAACCATGTGGTTATCCACCACCGAGAGGTCCGTCTGTTGATGAAGCTCTCACCGTGGTACCCAGGGCTGAGCCTTCAGTGCTGGGATATTTTTGGATCCTTTGGGCCTGTGTCAACCAGAACAGAATGAATCCCGAGACCTCCCAGAATGATCACGGGTTTCCTTCCAAGCCCCCTTGAGAAGACAAGGCGGTCAGAACCTTGCAGAGCGCTGGTGTGTGGTGTCTGTCCCCACTGGGCCCCAGCTGTGTGCGGGGTAAATGGCTGCTCTGCACTTACGGTGGCAGGGTCCCAGTGGAGGCCTTGCATGGCCACTCCCACCCATCCTGCTGGCCTCAGGGCTCACACGCCCCACACCCCACACTTGTGACTCCCACTCCTGGGGGGCCAGCCTTCCTAGCTGCTGTTTTTCTTCCTTCACCTCCTAGGGGTCTCCTGAACTCACTCCCCACGGGAGCTGACCGAACCCCTTTGCATTGGCTGCCACTGTGTACAGAAAGCTTCCAGATCGCTCCCTTATTTTGTGGCATGTCTTCTATGGTCTGGGATCCTTGTGCTTTTATTCTTTCCCTTTCCCTCTGGGACCCGTGTCAGGTGTACGTGTGTGGGTACACTGCTGGTGGCCAATGGTTGCACAGACGGTGCACTGCCCAACTCCAGGAGTTGCGTGTACTGGGTAGTCTGTGTGAGAATGACTCCCCCTAGAGTTGTACAGGTCACACCACAACCTGGATGCCAGTGAAGGTGTTGGGGTCTGGTAGAAGTTTGGGGGGGAAACTGCCCTGGAGTAACCCTGAAAAGAAGTCAGGCCAAAGAGAGATTAAAAATGGGGGAAGCGCAACTTGGGGGTGTCTTGGTTGTATACCAGTGTCTCCTGCCCTGTCCGGGTATCTCTCGTTAACTACACACAGGGATGTGGTGTGTGTCCCCAGCCTGTGCCTTTTTCTCCTAACAGTTCCCCGAACTTGAACTTGATAACTCTGCCCCCACACTCTCCCTTGGTTGGCTTCCGTCTGACCTCTGGGATGCCCTCCCTTGTTGTCCCACTCCGGCAAAAGGTCCCGGTGCCTGAAACTGGATATGTTGATAAGCAAGATCATCTTTCCTCTTGTATTGCCACCCGGGCATACCCTTGCTGTTCCTTTCTTTGACCTCCACGTTCTCACGGACCCTGAGTTCTGTGGCTCTGCCCACATCGCGGGCTCCAGATCCTTCCTGACCCCCCTGTGTGCACAGCTGCCCCTCTAGCCCAGGTCCCGATGCTTCTCCACACCATTGGCGTGGCTGGCTTTTCCCTCCAGCTTCCCTTCTCTGTTCATTCTTCCCCTAAAGGATGGGTTTTGGGAGGGCCCTTCCTTTGCATGTAGGTTCTTTCTGACTTTTTTTTTTTTTTTAATTTTTAATATATTTTATGGACTTTTTACAGAGAGGAAGTGAGAGGGAGAGAGAGTCAGAAACATTGATGAGAGAGAAATATCGATCAGCTGCCTCATGCACACCCTCAACCGGGGATGTGCCCGCACCCAAGGAACATGCCCTTGACCGGAATTGAACCTGGGACTTTTCAGTCCACAGGCCGACACTCTATCCACTGAGCCAAACCGGTTTGGGCCCTTTTTGACTTTCTAAAAAGGATTTGCTTCCCTTTGTGTCCTCTGCTTTCTGGTCTCCTCTCTGATTCGGACACTTCATCCTAAGGAACCAGTTTGCTGTCCTTCACGGGGTCTGCTTGTGAGCCTTCTGGCTCTGTCACTTCCCTTGGCATTGGAGTGCCCTCCTGCTTCTCTCCACTGGCCTGTGTATTCCCTTTTCCTCCTAAAACTCCACTTCTTCCGTGAAGCTTCTCTAACACACTTGCCATCCCATCAGCATCCACTGAGCTTCACGGAGCAAGTTTTCACTCGTGGTGCCAGCGTCTGACCCATCCTGTGGACCCATTCAATACAGCATTTCTCAAGTGTCCACGAGAGTCCATAAGTGTCCGAACAGATGTCTCACTGAGTGACCGGGGGCGGGGGGTGTACAGATCTTAAAACAGCCAGCTACAGGACAGAATGAAATGCCTCCATAGAAACCAAGCGCTGGTCGGAAGCCAGAAAGAGGAGGATTGGAGTTGGTTTTGCTAACCAGGTGGTGTTGGAGCTGAGCCTTGAGGACAATAAGAATTTGGAAAGGAAGGATGGAAGAGCTTTCCAGGCTCCGGGGAAAGGCGCCCTGTGTGGACGAGGGAATGTGCGTGGCTCCTCAGAGATGGGGTGGAAGGAAGGTCTGTGTAAGGTGGGAGGAGGGGATATAACCGGAGAGCAAGCTGGAAAGCTGGGGGTGGGGTGGATGCTGAGAAGTCTAGACCATGAGGGGTGGGTTTGTTGGCCCCATGCGTGTTGCCATCTTCCTCTTTATTTAGCTCGCTGTACGCAGTTCTCTGTTCAGGGCCGCAATCCCCACTCTGATTGTACTCCCTGCCGGAGGCGCCATGCTGGTCTTGTTCACTATTGTATCCCTGTTACTGATAGGCTGCCTGGCACATAGTAGGTATTCGATATGCCTTCGCTCTGCATACATGTATATATCCCTTTATCTGTGGGTGATGGGTAGCCATGGAAAGTTCCCAGGACATGGCAGTCTGATTGAGGAGGGTCAATCCTCTCTAGTTTGCAGCATGGATTAGAGAAGGGAAGGAATGGAGATTGTGGAGGGAGGCTAATATATTTTTAATTTGTGTCTTTTAAGAAAATACTTGCAAATCCACTGAAGTAGTTTTTAAATGACAAAAGCATTGCGTCTACACTTTAAAACTCACCTAACATAGAAGGGCATTAATTAGACAGGCCAGGCTGCTCACACAAATAGACTCAAAGCTCAGATCCTCAGACAATACTAGTGCCTTTCTTGGCAGGCCCGAGGGGATGTTTCAAATGAAAAGGTTGGGTGGGACCTCCTCCTCCACACAGCCATTCTGGCTACCAGGCTGATAGCAATTCATGGTCTTCAACCCATAGTTTCTTTCATTTTTAAAAAAAAAATATTTTTATTGATTTCAGAGAGGAAGAGAGAGGGATAGAGAGAAACATCAATAATGAGAATCATTGATTGGCTGCTTCCTGCATGTCCCCTACTGGGGGGATCGAGCCTGCAACCCGGGCATGTACCCTTGGCCGGAATCGAACCTGGGATCCTTTAGTCCACAGGCTGACGCTCTCTATCCACTGAACCAAACCAGCTAGGGCAACCAGTAGTTTCTAAGGCCCTTTTGGTTGCCATCCCCATCTTTCCAGCCCCATGAAGGGGAAAAGGGCATGGAGGAGTCCATAGAGGCCTCACGGCCACGCTTGGAAGTGGCACCCGTCATTCCGTTCCTTTGACATCAGTAGCTGCAAGGGAAGCTGGCGCATGCAGAGTCGCCTGGCATCCGTGTGCCAGCTACTGTGGAAGACGAGAAGAATAGATTTGGGAGGACAGTGAGCAGTTTCTGTCAGTTATAAAGGATATAAGGTAAACAAACAAACAAACATAAACGCCCACCCTCCCACGGCCCAGGCATAGCACTCCTGTGTAAGGTACCTGTCTGTGTCTGTGGACTGAACGTTCTGCTTGTTCTCTCTCAGAGCTTTGGTACAGGGCTCTGCACCTATACAGGCACAGAGTGAAAGCAGCAGCTACGGACCTAGGGCATGCAGACAAGCATCAGGCTCTTCCATGCATTTTCTTATTTAATCCTCGCAACGACACTTGGAGGAAAAGATACTGTTATTTTCCTCCGTATTCCAGGTGAGGAAACTGGTGCCCAGAGGATTGAAGGCACGTTTCCGGAGTCCTCCCGGGACTCCATGCTGACTCTGCTAAGGAGACGTTGGCTTATGGGCCCCATCACCTAATGCTGTGCATTTCTTTTCCTTTTCTTTCTTTTCTTTTCTTTTCTTTTCTTTCTTTTCTTTTCTTTTTTTTTTTTTTTAAATATATTTTATTCATTTTTTACAGAGAGGAAGGTAGAAGGATAGAGAGCTAGAAACATCGATGAGAGAGAGACATCAATCAGCTGCCTCCTGCACACCCCTCTGCGGGGATGTGTCTGCAACCAAGGTACATGCCCTTGACCGGAAT